AAAGAAATTCGGTACTGTGATTACATCAGTCTAGCTCTGTTACAAAATTCGTCTTGGTCTGATCTAACGAACGAATAAGCCCGCATGAACGACCGGGAGTTCCGGTATTCACAGCGGACCTCTCTGGAGTGGTGAATGAGTAGGACGGGCGGCGTAGCGAGACATTCGCAGTTGTCCACTCCGGCATAGTGACCATCAAATTCACAGGTACTATTACAGTCGTCAACCCCGGTAACCCTCTATAGCGCTATATTCACAGGAACTTTCTTGCAACCGGTACGGACTAGTCCGCTCGGGTAGCAGGCCTTTTTTTTCCGTGTAATACAGTAACTATCGCGAGGAGATAAACTGTTCTGTGTAATGAATGAGAAGATGCGCCCTAAGCGCTGACACGCAATGCTCAAACCGACACCTTGGGAATTGGTTTTTTGCTCACAATTACGACTTTGTCATAGATATGTCAATGTATCAGAGAACAGAAATAACATTATGACAAGTAAAGAACTTATTATGCGCTAACTGTTTTCTGCGCATGACGTTATTTTTAAAAAAAAAAAAAAAAAAAAAAAAAAAAAGATTAACTTTAGATTCCGCAGTTGTAGACTTCGCTCGTGTTTATTTTTTTCTTTAAAATACAGTTATTCTCGGAATTATCAGTGAATTTACTTAATGAAGAATCTTCACAGGAAATTCATGGAGATAATTGGTTGGTTCTTGGATAATCAGTTTTAAAAATTTGAAAATACAACCAGGAATGTTTAAACGTTGGAATGGAGATGCGTATTTTTTAACTTTAACTATAGCTTTCCTTTTGCTTGTCTATGCGACGCATTTCCAGCCAATTGCAATAGCGCGCCACTGGACAAGAGACAAGAGGGACAAGAGATGGTAAAGGATGGGAAAAATCACGAGAAAGCAAAGCGCCTTCACTTTTAAGGACGCAATACGGACATCCACTTAGCACGAATAGTCGCATCCAGCATTTTGCTTTCATATTCGCTCGTTAAAATCTCCGGGCTCTTTACAGCCTCTCTAACGGATACCTACGTTATGGCAGTGTTGGAAAACTAAGATTGAACATTATCTACTCAATAAATGAAAAAATGCGCTCTGAGCCCTGACGTCGAGCAAAGCACAAACAAACACCTTGAAAATTGGGTTTTCACTCACAATTACGACTTTGCTATCAGCTTGTCAAGCAGCCATAATAAGGAGAATCATTCTCACTGGAGTTGAGCATTTTTAATTGAGCTAACAATATTCCTCGCAAAATGCTGTTTACTGTCCCTTTCTTTAAAAAAATTTAGCTATGCTCAACCATTGCTCATATTTTAGGGCAAATCCACAGAGGATTTAAACGCGTTCAGTAGTTTAATGCTCAGCAGAGAAAAGAGAGAGAGAGAGAACACAAAGTGGTGTGGAATGTAGTTAGGCCGAGTTCTGTTAAATCCCAACAAATGGACTTATGTTTGCTAAAAGGAAGTGTGTTGCACGCAAACCCTATGCACATAGTCCCTTTCAGCAGTATGCGCCCAAATAGTATTGTTGAATTTGTAATTTCCCGCCGATCATTGATCAATCGGTATGCCGAGCCTCATTGGTCATCTACGCACCTCTTATCAACTTAATACATACGCTCTCCGCTCATGATCGCAGTACGTTAAGTTGTATAAGTTATTTAATAGAAATCAAGTTGTATAAGTTATTTAATAGAAATCAAGTTGTATAAGTATTGTAAATGAATAAAAGTGCCTCCGCATAGGCTTTCAGTGATAAACCGGTCTTTTTTATAGGTAGTGTTACTTCAACATTTATTGTGTTACTTCAACAATTATAACGTTCCTTCGTCTGGGAAAGAACAAATTTAAGACTCGGAGATTAGAGCTGATGCGGATACCACCCCTTTTTCCAGCTGAATGAAATCTTTTATGGTTATTACGTCAAGGGCGTCGATACAAATCCTCAAGTGTTCATCACTCCAATTACACGCGTTGCTCAATAATAAACGCGAGTTATGACGCCTTCCTCTAGAATCTGGAGATCAGAGCAATGAGCAAATTACGAGCTCGGTCGCACTCGGACAGGGGAAATAACAGGGAAAAGCGTTAAAAGATCCCGAGGCCTATTTTGCCTCTAATTAGACATTGACGACCCGGCTTGATTGAACTCCCATCGTTCACACACGATTGCGGACTCTTCGAATTATGACGTCACGCTTGGAATTCTCCATTCAGTGGAGCCAAGGCGAGGTCCTAGGATTCCAGGTTTATACTATTTCGCGAAGATCATGAGGGCTTCATTGATTTTGTCTAAAGTAAGCTCGAAAAATGGAGATATTGCATGAATGAGGAACTTGCGATTTGACTACTGATTATCATGTAAAATTTCGCGAGAAACACGATAGTTTCACTAAATTTCTCTGAAATCAACTCCCACGCTCAAAAAACGCTCTTAAAGTTGAGGCTGTAATGGAGGGGATCTCCTACGCTATCCCGAGAATCCACCTCTACATCAAGACAAACTCTCCATGCAAGGATAGGGAGCAAATACATTAGCAGGGTTGGCGTGTTTTCAGTTTTAGAGCCCCCAAATAAAGTGGCAGCCCTGCAATGTATTTGCTCCCTACCTTTGCTTGGAGAGTTTGTTTTGACTTAGAGGTAGGCTCTCAGGATAGCGTGGGATATCTCCTCCATTATGCCCTCAACTTTGAGAGCTAAACCAGTGGCACTATCGTATTTCTCACGAACTTTTACATAAGAATCAATGGTCAAATCGCAAATTCCTCACGCATGCAAGATCTCCATTGTGATAAAAAATGAAAATTTAGAGGAACTTATAGTAATGATGACCGTCTATAGGAGAGGGAACTTCAGTTCACGGAGGTAAAATTTCCAATGAAGAATGCGTTTTATGCCGAGGTAGCCGACGCGGGCATGTAGATATCGCCTCCCCTATTTTTGCCCGGATGGGGCTGCTCTTGAGGCAGAAAACTTACTTTGAAATTAAAAGGTACCTACCTGAGTTTTAGTAAAATGCAGTGGTGTTTTCGGATTTCTCGTCCAAGTTTATATTTTTATCGATCAAACTTGAGGGTTGAATTTCAAATTCCCGTACCTTGCGAGATTTTCTTGTTCCGTCCAGTGTCGGTCTGTTTCGAAAATTTTTGGGGTGCTGGAACGTCTTCGCGGCCTCTCTTCTTAGGTGGGGACCCTCCTAATTAACCTACTTCATGTGAGGTTTTCACGTTTTGGGGGCCCCTAGAGGAGTCCTAACGGGGCCCGGGCCCCCTGCGCCACTTGTCAGAGTTTCTGGGGTGCTGAAGCACACTAGCACCCTTGGCCGGATCTTCCCTGGTTCCATCTACGTTGATTTAGTCACAAACAGGAGTATTGATGTATTTTCATATACCTTTCGAGGCCAAGAGCAATTTTCAATCGTAAATGAATAATCTTTATTCATCGGGGATCAAGTTAGATGAAATCTCGTGGGGTACCTAAAATTTACCGGACGATACTGATACGCTGCTGAATTGAAGCACGGGACTACATTCATTGTGGGTAATTAATTCCTTCCTTCAATCAATCCATTCCTTTCCGCCTAAATGATGATTTTCTTTTTTTTTCTTTTAGGCCGGAAAATGCGGGGCTTACTTCCGTTCTTTTGATGAGCAGAGGACAAAATGACGGCGGCGAAGATGGTAGCAATTACGAACGTGCGTCATGCAGAGCAGGTACGTCACCCGGTCTCATAATTCGTACTTCAATCCGAGTGGAGTAGATAAAAGCGATTAGCAGGAAAATCAATTATTGCCCTTTAAAGTTAAAATAAATTACTGCTTACCCTATGATTGTGAGGAAAAGAATTATCATAAATCCTGAGGATCGGGAAAATCAATTTCGATGAAGAAACAACGACGGACATAAGATTTCAGAGAAATAATTTTTTTCTGTTCATTTCGATGAAAATCAACTAACGGGAATACTTTTGCTATTGAGCTAAATCTCGCAACTTTCACCGTCAATATACACTCTCCGTTTATAGAAGCAACCCCATTGCTCAACGCCGGAAATTGCTCACTAGTTGGCAGTTGAGCGAAAATAGAACTTTTTGAGACAGTTTTTTAAAACAATGTAGTTTCCCCGATAAAAATTGGCAGTAGAATCTGTGTTCCAAAATACCATAGACCTAAAGCCGGCTGTAAGATTTCCAATAGCTTCTGTAGCTGGCTGTACAATTTCTTATAGCCTTTCATAGCCAATGGCGATTAAGCAACAGCCAGACGATAAAGTTTATACTAAACGTTACTAAATATGGATACCAGGACTTAGTTAGTTTTTGGACTACCGTTCTCTTTTCGTGCCGTAGTATCTTGATTTATTTTGCGAGGAAAGCTCCGTACTTTTGAAGGATGCCTGTCATTCTTAATATGTTGGAGCGCCTTCAATTTCTTATGATACTGTGCAATACCTCTGGTGTGAAATAGTTGCTTCAGACGCCGTGGCACGCTGCGGCGCGGCGGGCGGGCGGAGAGTGCGAAACGCGCATTGGCGCCTACAAACCTAACAGGGATACTTCAAGCATTGCGCAATGCGTGATGTATCCCTGTTAGGTTTGTAGGCGCCAGTGCGTCGCCGCTCCACTTTGTATTAGGCTCTAATATTTAATCTCGCGGATTCAGCGTTTTTCAACTCAAGATTTTGAAATGTTTGCAAACTCTGTATGGACTATTCTCATTTTAATTGATGAAAAAAAAATATGTTTTAAAGGAAAATATAATGTGTGTTTTGTAAATATTAAGGTAGTTCCGTATCAAACTTAATGATTTCCAAAGTACACGAATTTCTACACAATTTCTTATAGCCTTTTATAGCCAATGGCGATAAAGTGTAAAGCCCGGCGATAGGAACTATAGCCCGACTGTAGCTTCGTATAGCCCGGCTATATGATTTGCTCCGCTTTCTACAGCCATCTATACAATGATTTTCAATAGCCTTCTTTAGTCGGCTATAAGAACTCCCGTGGTATTTTGAAACGCAGCTCCTATCGCCAATTTTTACCAGGCCGGGTTTCCTCAAACAAATTGTTAAACACGTTGTTGAGCAAACAACAGAAAGAGAAATTTTATGGACTGACCCATAACGCCCTGCGCTTTCATCGATTCCCAATCACACACACTTTCCAAAAACTTTCAAATGTTGCCAAAAAATGTGCGACTTCTTCTTTGATTCAGGTGGCTCTTGGGAGCAGCTTTTGTTCTAAAATTAGGACGAAAATTTATTGAAAATTTCCCGATAAATTATTGATACATCCTTGATTTTTGAGGTGAAACGTCCACCACAATCATCATCATCAACACCTTACAGCGCCCTATCCGGTACATCAGGAATATTTTAGCAAACAATTTTTAAAAATGTTCTTGGTGAAATTTTAATAGGTAAATGGGGTGAGGGGCTTGGAGGACAAGGCGCATAAGTGCAGTTTTTGAAAAAAATGAGATATTAATGATTTCAAGTAAAATAAGTCTTAATGCATATTCTGAGAGAAATTAGTTAAGAAATTCTAATTTTCAAGCATCAAAAAGTCAATTTGAAATTTTTTACCGCCATGAATATTCATGTAATGTCAAAACTTCAAACATGTTTTTCTCGGTATAGCAAAAACTACACTTATGCGCCTTGTCCTCCAAGCCCCTTAATTTAAAGAGTTGAAAATATCGTCATTAGCTCCGACCTCACGATACGTGTGAAATATTTTCGAATTGTTTTAGCGATATTTTCAATTTTACGAGGTTTGTTTTGAATTTTCACATTTCATATGTTCCTGGCAATGGACCACTGAACAAGGTCTGAACTAGAATGAAAGTGTCACATGAGCTCTCTTTAAAATCTTACGCAGAAATCGAATCATTCAGCAGGTTTGAAAAGCAACTTGTGAAGCAGATTATAGCAAGTCACAGATCAAATGGACGTATTTCTGTCAAACGGACCTATGTGCATTATGACGTGAGCCCTGTTATGCATGTATTCTTATGGGTCTCAGAGCTCATTTCATAATGCACATAGACCCGTTTGATAGAAATACGTCCAAATGGAGATTAGATTCATCGATGACGACCAATGACGTCATTCGGACGTATTTCTGTCAAACAGAACTAAGCGCCACTTTGAGTTCCTTTTGAGGAATTTAGAATGCCGGATAGCGCATTCTATCAAACGGAACTAAGCGCCACGGAAAAGCATTGCGAGTATAGGACGGAATGAGCTTGACGCCCGGATCCGCGGCCAATCCAAGCCCCCCTCATCCTTCCTCCCCCTACGGCGCTTAGTTCCGTTTGACAGAAATACGTCCATTTGTACTTAAATCTGTTATCTAACCAAAATATTAATTATAAATACAAACATCTTGTTTAGGAGTTAATTTCGACAATCCTCATTTTGCGATTCGTTTAACTCGTGTTTTGACGAGAAGGCATGTTGCGAAGCTCTTTGATTCAAACCCTGTCTTTAGCCTCATTGGTTGTAAAAAGAAATTTTGCGGTATTGACAGGAGCATGACGCAATCAGAGGGCGGAGTTTCGTGTCTCCCCGCTGATATGATAAGTGAATTACCCGGATCTCTCACTCCCAAAACAAGCTATTGATACTCAGTGAAATATTACTTATGCAAATAGAACCATTCTCAGCATTACTCTCGAATTATTTATCGTATTTTAGTGGTCGTTTGGCCGGTGCCCTTCCACCAATAGTATCGCAGCTGCTCGCGTGTTCACAGCTCAAAGCTGCGTCGACTCTGACGCAGAGAGTTACATAAACCCAATTCTACTTCAATCATGCGCTAAATGACGAGTCCGTAATTTGCACAAATCCATCCAACATTTTCCACGCGTCTCAGTCTGTGATGAGAGCTTGATTTTCATCAAAACTCATAATTTGAGAGGAAGAAGGCTCCCCCTATCAAGAGAAAACGGTTTTTCCTGATTTGTGGCATTTTTTACAGATTTTGCGCTTCATAACTTGTATCACAAGACCTCTTAAAAGTCTTTTTCTTGTAGTCGATTTTGGTGGCGCACCGCACATAAAACATTCTAACTCCAAATTTAGTTGATTTTTCTGAAACTTAAACAAACATTACGCTCATCTTTTTGGAGATTAATTTGATTTTCACTAAAGCTGATTATTTAGAAGAGGACTTTTTTCTCGATTTTTGATGCTCTATATACCCACCTCTATCCCGTAACCCGTAAAGGCCACATCATAACCTTCCGGCCGACACATCAAAAGCGCCACTTTGCCAACTTTTCAGGAGTCACAAAAAACTGATTTACGACCGTATTAGATGGAATTTCGGTTTGAAAATTGGAATATTGATCCAGCACAGCTTTCTACCTTGAATTTTGATAAAATGTCTTTAAAAAAAAAAATTCTTTGAAAACTGGCGCTTGTGATACCACGTTCTCGGGGCATTCTGAGAACTCCTGGCACTTGTGATACGGAAGCTCTTCAAGTTGAAAGTAGTTTTTTTCCATATTTATTAATTTTTAATCCCCGAATATTTTCCATTGTTGCCAAGTTACAGAAAAATTCCGGTTTTTGTTGGACCCCTCCTCGTTTGTGACATTCAAACTAGAAGAACTGTTTTACTTCCAGCAATAATTGTAATTTTTATTTTTCAGTTTCTGCCTCAGAACTACTACATCCCAGTTAAAAAAACTAGAGTTCACAGGACAGTGACTCGTCCTGCTCTGAAACAGCAATCCGTAATCCAGGATGTGATAGATAAATTAGTCATTATTTTTCAAAAATACTGGAATAAATACTTCGCATCAGATAAGGTAAGTCATGAAAAGAACAAAATATCTCGAATTCAAAAATAAATACTTTAAAACAATTTTTTTGGGATCGATTTGAGTTTTTTTTTTTAGAATATTCGGATTGCTTAAGCCATGATCAGTTAAATTGTCGGTTACTACTGACAATGAGTGATTACCGTCGCTACTTTTCTTATGCTGCGTTAAAGTCTTTCAGAATTAAGAGACTTTGCGGGGACTATTGGAGCCTATTAGCGCGCAAAAATATCCACCTAGTCGACTGTCACTACAATTTTTAACATCTTTTATGCTTAATCCATTTAAGTGACCGGCAAATATAATCTCATTAGGTTTTTTTTGCTCAGATATTGAGAAGAAATTATCATCCTACTTCACAGAGTCATTTACACACACACACACACACTTAAAGGAAAGAAATGCATTTTCCTCAGCCCTCTCAAAAACAAACATTGTTAAACATCAAGAAGATCATCATTAGAGACCTGATTAGCAATTATTTAGACAATTACAGGGTTCAGAGCTTGGCATCGTATCACTAATTTGACAGCCGTGTTGATCACATTAATCGTCGTTGATGGGCAATCATAGCCATGGTTGGCGATATAGGTACTTACAAAGAGGCTTTTACATTCAATCATATAATATTTCAACATTCAATCATAAAATATTTCAAAAACTAAATCTTTTCAAACAATTACTCCCGCGAGGGGAGGGGTAAAAAACATCAATTTCGTCATCTGACTTTTCGAATATCTAAAAGAAAAAAAATCGAGCTTAATAAACTTTGCACAAAATGACCGGTTCGTAAAATTAACTATCATCAATAAATAATGTTTGGGAGCTTGTTCTTGTTAAACAATGTTTCTATCAAATTCGGCACTGCCTCCTGAACTACTGCGAAGACCATTAAAGTCAAATTATAAATTTCAAAGGACTCGTAAATTTCTATGTCTCCGTTAATATGCTCGTTTACATGTACTTACAGAGATAAGTTGATGTAAATATACGTTCAAAACATTCATGGTTGTTTTGCATTATAATATAGCTGAGGCTTTGAGCAAAAAGGTATGGGGTCATTTGTGAAAGGGTGATTCTTTTAGACTTTGATCAAATTTCACGGACAGAGCAAGTACTATGCGATGGTGTCCAATCTTTTAACAGGGAGTTTTATTTAATGAAAAACGGATAGGATATTATGATTAAATACATTAAATCTGTTCCAACTCGACAGCGCTGGCTCGTAATTATTATTATGCATTTAAATGATCAACGTGGGATCGGTGCTCTTCTTCCGTTGTTGTCAAATTCAAAATAGTGATTCTTAACATTTAAATGGAGTCATCGAGGGAATTTCCGGAGACTCTCTGGCAACGCTGTTCCTCAAGGCTCCCGACTTAGTTCCGGTTTCGCGAGAAAAAAAAGATCTCCCCCGATTTTTTCCCCGAGAAAATGTAACCTATACTCCTCTCTTTTTCGTATGCAAGGAAATCTTCAATAAAGTACCACCTATCATTTAAAGTTTGAGATTCTATGATGAAGCTCATTGTACATGAGTGTCTGCAGCAATGTAGACTCCTCGAAAATACAAATTTTCCAGGAAAGCAATTTATTTTCAGTCAGATCGGCGAATCGAAATTCGAGATTTCAGTGAGAAATGCGCCCTAATCGTAATCAGAATTTTAATTTAGGAACGATTAAATTCATTTGTATGCCATTTTGACGCACTTTATGACGAAACTTTCAAGTCGTGGGGGAGGTACGAGTGAATTAAATCTTTAAATATCTTTCCATCTTACATTATATATCCAGAACAGCAAAAGTATTATAAATCCAGGTTGACTCGAAACTTTGGAGTATGTGTTATGTTTTTGAATTGTTTGGAAGAAAAAAACTTGAACTTAGAAAAAATCATGATTAGCAAATAGGCAACTCAAAGAGAGAAAAATGTGCATAACTCGCGTCGGCGATCTCAGAGACTGGCGGCCATCTCTAACTGCCTACAATTAGAGTCGCTGTTGCAGCAGTCGTAATTTGATAATAATGGATCAGTTTTGAGTAATAAAAACTTCACAGTGAGTATTATAGAGCTTTTGCGCTGAAGGTGTGGCCTGCAGATATAAGTACTTTTCGGAGTGCTCTGAAAAAAGTTGCCAAAAATTAATTAAATTAAATTAAGACCGTAACTCTAGAAGTGTTGATTTATAGAGAAAGATGAGAGAAACTTATATTTTCATAATAGTTAAAAAGTCTTCAGAAATATGGCTTCAAATGTGCAATTCCTATGACTGTCTTTATTTTTGAACTATTTTCCATAGAATTTTTTCTTGATAGTTCAGAAAAATGTCTATAAAAAGTCTTAAGAGAGATGCCTTCAAATGTGCGATTTCTATGACTTTCTTTATTTTTGAACTATTTTCAATTGAATTTTTTCTTGATAGTTAAAAAAAATGTCTATAAAAATTTGTGGAAATCATTGACACAAGATATCATTCACTTGCTTTCCCTGGATGTATTTATATCTACATTATTCAAATGGCGGTAACAAAAACAATAATAAGAAAAAAACACTACTTTACCCGCTGGGAAAAAGCAAAATGCATATGAAGATAGAATAAGAAGAGAATGCATAAGAAGAGACTAAAAGCAAACATCAACTTTTATGTTGGCTCGGTCACATCTTGTGGCCCAGCTCCACGCTTATCCTCGTTTTTTACACATTCACGTTTCAATTTTATCTTATTACTCTTGCATTTTATGGATCCTACAGACGTTTAGTGTCAGAATTTAAAATCAAATGGTCCACATAAAATATCTTTGTCACACCAATATACTGGTGTACTTCCATACCCAGATAGTGCGAACACTTAAATTCTGGATTCAGTGGTGTGAAGAATGATTGTCTTAAGATTTACGGTCAGATGTTGTACTCGTCGTAATTTTTCAGTTTTGCGCGGAGGCGGACCACAATGATAACGTCAGATACGCCATCCTCCCCGAGGATAAGAAGGAGAGGGGTACCGCGCAAGTGCATGTCATACCTGCTGCTGTGTGTCTTCTCGGATTTTACGTCATGATTCTTCTCGGTTTCATCAACAGGTTCCTCTTCAAACCGAAACATCACGAGGAGAGTGACCACAGGCTGGTAAGAATTCCTCGTTACATTTAAAAATCCTCCATCATTTCTTCTTTTATATGAACGAATCGTGCATTGTGCAGAAAATTAAACTGCATCAAAATCTGCCTTTATCTACTAAATAGGTAATCACATGTTCCACAAAATCTGATACTGGCTTTCAAAATCAATGCACACTATACAAAGAACGGCGGCTCATCGTGACCACTTGTATTGAAAAACCGAAAAACCTAAAAAATGAGATTTTTTTTTGCCATGTTGGAATTAAGAGTAAGGACCTGGCTTTAGCCCTCATTGGACGAAATTTAACAATAAGAGACTTATATTGTTGACTTATTTCAGAAACAACACAAGCGCCTTATGCAGATAGGTAGGTATTTTGTAGATGAGCCAGAAATACTGGTACCACTATATACTTATTGCAAAATGGAATCCAATTATCCTGATGGACACAACGCATTACGTAACGTTGCCAATGTTAACTCCTGAATGCAACTATTCGTGCCTCATGGATGTCTGTGTTGCGTAACCAAAAATTGAAGGCGTTCTGGGTTCTTCTGCCCTAACGAAGTAACAAAGCAAATTACTGTCGAGATCGACATAAAAAGCATTATTAGAATTCTTTAGGCTTATTTGGATGGAGCTGTTTATCCTCAACCCAATGGAAATGTTTCTTTTGAACCACTATGTTTTTGATATTTATAAAGATTGCTGAAGGTTTGATATCCCCGTGACATACTTGTGTGATATCTGTAGGATTATCCTGGAGTGTTGTTGGAAGAAAAAGTTTTCCTAATCTACAATTACTACCTCAGACGTTTCAAAGACGTGTTTCACCGGCCAATATGTAGTGCACCAGGCTCGGAAATCACGTTGATGGAAACGTACAATGACTTCTGGTCAACTTGCCATGGAAAGTAAGTAATCTTCCTTTTATTCAACTAGAGTTTACAATTATTCGTGTTTACAAACTTTTAACCGTTGGGACAGTATGGGATTTTTTCCTATGGATGAAAAAAAAACCCCAAAACCTAAACACCAGGTATCGAGGAAATGATAACTCAAAAATCACGCGGCCTAATGGTAATGTTCTGAAAATTTCGTCCTTTTTTTAATTTTTTTGTGAAGTCGCTGTGTCAACTGAAATATTTACGATTTTTACAGGATATTCTATAAAAATATAAATCATAACCATGAGAAATTTTGAGAAATTTTGTTACTTCGTTTGATTAAAGTCGAGACAAATTCCGCAATATCGTAAATTGTTTAACAGCCAAACGAGAGAGTTAACGCTGCTTGCATGGCCAAATATTGGAGGTTTTCACACTATTTGCTCTCAAAAGTTTACTCTCTGAAACTGCAGATCAGCGTAAAATCCCGATGTGTACACTTATTTAAAATTTGTCGCGTGTTTTGATTGCAGCCTCAAGGGGACCACATCTAGATGCATCAACTTAGGGTCTTTCAATTACCTTGGCTTTGCCGAGACGGATGGTCCTAATATCCGAGACTGCGAGAGAGCTGTGAAACAGTACGGAGTATCCACTTGCAGTTCCGCAAAACAATACGGTGAGATTGACAGCAATTCATATTAGCGCTTGAGAGGCTTTTGTGCAAGGGTTCGTGTTGAAGTTGAGGAAGCTGACAAGCAGCATTTCAGATGTAATAATCGCTCATTATAAGCTGAGACAACCTGCTCCGACTGTGATTTTTGCGCCATTCCGTTCGCTTCAACTGCATCCTACAATATGCAGGATATGATCAATAAAATGCCACAGAATAGTGAAACGTTGAATCATACTTAATTCAAGCTACGTTTCGATCAATCAGTGATCAATGATAAGCTCCGATGAAAGCAACTTAATAAGCTTGAAATAGCTATAGATAATGCCTCTTACGAAAGTCCTCTGATTATCATCGAATCAATTGGGGCTGACTTTATTTTAAACAAAAATATGGGAGTGAACTAAATCGTGCAAAGCTAAAATTTAAAGCAATAATTTTTATGGAGCCTTTTGATCTTGAGGGACCACCAATCTAATGCAGTCGATAATATGCTTTCAGTTACTGCTCCTCTACATCTGTCTTCAGTAAGTAATCGTGTAAAAAAGGTGCCCTTTCTGAAGTTATTGGAGATCTCATGATCAAAATTCCCGCAGGGCGAAAATAGGTCTCAATAAAAAGGGTGAAAATTTGTTAAGAGCAACAAAAATCGACCCATTTTAAAAATAATTTCAGATCTATGATGAAGAGGAGGGTAAGTGCTTCAACTCCCTGGGTATCTCCTCCCCCCCCCCACCTTACTGTACCAGTCATTTCAGAGATGGGAAATAAGAGCGAAGGAGTTTGGAATTTTGAAGAGCGTGTGACAAAAAAGGAGAGATAATTTTACCACGGCAGCAATTCTCACAAGATACACATACGTAATGAGAGTGATACAGCGGTTAGAGAGATTATAGAATTCGAGGACAACGGGAGAAATCGAGAAAAAGACGAGGCAAAAGTAAAAATGTATATCAGAGAAGTGATCGTTTTCATATGTCACTCTGAATAATGTTATCGAGAAAAACATTATGATGTCCTTGATTATGAAAGTCCGTGACGTCATCGATAACCATACGCAATATAAGTATAGTCTACCTTTCTATCTATGCGTTAAACTCACCGTATTGATTCATTTCTGCAAACACCTGCGGATTTAAGTCTTTAAGTTGTTTAAACTGTAAACCTGTGTTACGAGTGCATTACAACGGGGAAGGAGGGAGTTAAAGAATCAATTCTTCAAATTATGTTTTTTATGAGTGGTCCCTAAAAGTATTCTAATTTGAAATTATAAGAGTATATTTTTTTAAACATATGTACCTAATATTCAAAAGAATTTTCAAACCGTCATGTAATTTTGACAACTGCTGAAAAAGCAAACCTAGGAGACAGTTGGATTGCATTTTGTAATTCGGTACTTCGATTTCTGACCCATACATGAAAGCACCTATCTACATAGGGAAATTGATGACACATACGTTGTATCCATAAAACGCTAGAAACTGTAGTTCCAAATTTCAAAATATAGTCGAATTAATCGTAGTAAATAGCGATCAGGCTGAAGTCATTTAAATCCGTCCAATAAAACTGATAGTCGAGTGCGTCCATCTGTTGACAAAAAGGCCTCGATCACATACTCGAATAATGCTTATTTTTCATGCCTCCACGGGACTTTTCAAGGGATTTGTCCCAAGTTCGAATCGCAAGAATGAAACTTCTTGGCTTTATTCCCGTTAAACAAAACAACAAAATGTCTTCCCACTCTCTCTGAATCTCCCTTAGGCCTTGTCTCCACGGGCCGTTTCACGGGATTTGTCCCAGGGAAAAATCCCAATTAGGTACGAGGTCGGAAAAAATATTGAGTTAATCAATATTTTTCCCAGTACCAAGTATGGTCCTTACCCCTAGAACGAAGCGAGAGAAGAAGAAGTGGAAGCGAACCATACGATATTTTGTTGGTTACTCCACTGTGTGTTTGTTTCCAGGGCCGGATTAAGGGGTGGCCACATGGGCCGCGGCCCATGGCAGCAAATTTAGAGGGCGGCAAATTTTGCAATTTTTTTCAATGTAGGTGTAAAAAAGATCGGATTCAGAAAAAAAATTATCTATGAGAAAAGGGGACAAAATCTCTCTTTCCTGAAAGTATAGTGCTTTTTAATTTTGTCGTCCTTCGGTGATACAAGAGACAGCATCTTTAATCAGTCGAGTTAAGAGAATAACTAAACACGTAATTTGGCCTGGAGCTCAGCGCAGAGAGAAATGATGACGAGGACTTGAGAAGAAAAAGACGAGCCCTCAGCGTAGCGGTCGGCATGTAACACATATTAGCGCCTACAAGACAGCATGAATACTTCACCCACTGCGCCAAACACAGTGCGGTCAGGAGCGGTTGCGTTGGCGTGAAACGCATAGCGCCTACAAGACTGCTGGAATACGTCACGCATTGCGCCAAACACAGTGCGATCAGCGCGGCGCAGCGGCGGAAGTTAAAATTATTAAACCACATTTATGTTTGTTCTCTTATAATTTTTTGGCTCATTTCTTATTTATGAGGGCCTTGCACACACAGAGATAGGTTTACGGAACTTAACTTTCGCGTCAAGTTCCGTGAAAATTTTGCTTGTAGTGTTGACAGGGCTTTCTCAAAAAATGTATCCAACACGCGTAGGTAAACGCGTCTTATGCACCCCTTCCCCTCCGGCACGTTCACTTGATGGTTTTTATTGATGTTTCAAAACGAATGAGAAGGGGGCGGCAAAATACAGGCGGCCCATGGGCGGCAAGTAGGTAAATCCGCCCCTGTTTGTTTCGTTGAAATAATGAGTCTAATTGTCAATCGTGTTCAATTATTATTTTTAATCCCGCTTAAACACTCGATTTTTACTAACTTATCGTTCCACGCAAACTTGTCGCTCGACCGTATGAGCCTCGTCCCATGGAGACAGTAACTGGGAAAAATCTCAAAGGTTTCATTCCTGCGATTCGAACTTGGGACAAATCCCATGAAAACATCCCGTGGAGACAAGGCTTTAGGACTCCACAAGGACTCTTCGTGGTACTCTGATTAGCATTGACTAACTCAATTTTTTCCCCAACTTCGGAAATGAGATTTTTCCCTGGAACAAATCCCATGAAACGTCCCGAGGAGACACAACTTCATAAAACATGTTTGGATATTTTTGACGCAGGGTTGACGCCGGTGCACCTGGAGCTGGAGAAGATCACGGCTCGGTTCCTGCAGACGGAAGACGCTGCTGTGTTTGGCATGGGCTTCGGCACCAACTTCTTCAACCTGCCCTGCATCCTCTCCGAGGAGTCGGTTGTCTTCAGCGACCAGAAGAACCACGCCTCCCTAGTCCTCAGCATCCGTGTCTCTAATGCCTCCTGCATTGTCTTTAAACATGACGGTAGGTAATCATGTAATTTCAACTCTAGGAACCGTGTCTAGAGCTCGAAATGCGATTGTCAACAGGAAAAGGGACCCAAGTCCAAGAAACTTGAAGAAAAGGCTAACGTAACCGGAATTAACGCGGGACAGGGAATGGCATCACTATGGACACTCTGCATTGTTACGTCCTCAAAAAACCCCCTTCCCGGCTCATGTTCCTTTTACCAGGAGAGGAGAAATACCATGACACGATCACTCGTAGACGGATCCGAGGGGGGCGTAAGGGGCGTGCGCCCCCCTTTCCGATCGCGGGAGGATGTTTTGAAAAGCAGAAAGTGAAAACAATGAAAGAAAGAAGAAAGGAACGGAGGAAAAAAGAAGAAAAGACGCTTGTTTGGACTTGATATTCATGACAAAATTGACTCCAAATGCATATTAGTTGCTTTAAAAGTTGGCAAATTCTCTGGGTGAGCCCCCGGACCCGGGCCCCCTTCCTCTCTCGGTCCCCAGTTCTCAATGTCTAGATACGTCTATGCGTTCATTGCCAATGTGTTTTCTTCGAAATTGTCTCGTCAGCCCCATAGAGTACAACAGAGTCGCAATGTACTGGAGCGCCGATTATGTCAATCCATGAACGGGCCATTCCGAGCCCCTTGTTCGCCGGAGAGTGGGAACCATTTGCCATTTGCCATTTTTTTACACAGCGGCTTGGGAGAATCTCGGGCTGCGAGTGGTTTTCGGGATTTATTCATTGAAATCAATCATTATTTCCGCAAATTTTGGCTAATTGTGCGGAGTCATCACAAATTCAAAAATGTACAACACTCCCGGTTTTTATGAAATACGTTTTATACCTGTATTTCCTGAGCGGAGACCGAAGCTAGGACCGGACATACGGCATTGCCGCACACTAGTCTCAGGAGAACTGGACAAAACAGCCTCATAAAATGACTTCATCGCTCCAGAACATTGCGACTCTATTGTATGCAATCTATGGTCAGCCCAGAAAAAGGGGCAGAGAACAGCGAGATAAGATTGCCAGCGTTTCTTATCGCTCACGTGAGGAAGCAGTAGTTTTTTTACTCTCCACTTTTCCTTCATACTTTAAGCGAGAAAATTCCTTTTTCCTTAAAAAACTTTTCTCATTTCTGGCAAAATCCTAAGTCTTAGGCCCCTAAACGTTGGCGCCTCAGTTCACTCGTGCGTAAATCTTGTCCCGAGCGTAACCGCCCTAAACGAGAAAAATATGGGCGTATAGAATTGCCGGCGGAGACGAAATAGAGCTAAATGATATAACCAAGAGAATAGATAAGCTCATCACTCGGGAATATCCTTTGCCTGATTATAGGAAAAGTTTGACTCATATTCCGCAAAGTAGCTAAATACAACTTTGATTTTCAAAGAACCAACTTCGATCACAACAGTGCATTTCCATTCATGTGGTTACCACCTAATAAGACTTGCCTCAACATTTAAGCAATACTGCCGTATGACCTGCAGCTGTATTGGTGTAATGTCGCATGGACATTGCAACAAGATTATACACACATTGATTTGCTTCTAGGTCATTGAATCCACCTTCCTACTTTTCGCAGTTTTGCTGCTAACCCCCTGGTATCAAAACCAGACCTACATTGATACCGGGCGGAACAGGGTCTGATTAAAAATTGTCAACCAATGGGCCCAGTCTCGCGGGTTCCTCTAAATTGCTTCTTCTCCTAAGTTTCGTGGTAAATTTACCCCGTAAAGAGGGGGTCAGGGTCTCCCTCGATAAAAGTTGAGATATTTACTGTTTGAAACGCGATTTGAGGCGTTTATGAAACATGTTGTGAGGGCATATAGAAAAGGATAGGGTCCCTTACAGACTTATCTACATGTAGGTCCATGAGATACAATGGGAAAATATTATGGTCGAAAAAAAAGTCAAAAGTTTATACTGAAGGGGAAGGGAAAAACCTTTGTGGTGAGGCCCCTTAGGCTTGCCTGTATGGATAGGAAAATCAACGAGAAGACAAGGAATAACAAGGTAGATTCAACGACCTGGAGGCAAATCAATGTTACGGGACTTAATTGCAACATTACATCAACCGCTGCAAGATTTCCGGTATTTGACTGCTACAATGTTGCGGCAAGCCCTGGGTAGCAGCCAAGTTAATGGGACTGTATAACGTTACCTATGATTGAGGGGTGTCAATGCGCTTCTGATATCGCATCTTCGCATACGCACAACACACGGAGAAAAAAACTTCGTGCATATGGGACCCGAAGTTGAGGTCATATGGATCTCTGAAGTTTTCTGATCACGCATCCAAAAACTTGAGGTCGAGCTGTCGAAGTTCGGGTCAGACATCGAGGCACCGCGGTATGTACCGGAGTACTTCAGATGTGTGACCCGAACCCTTCGGTATACATCGAAGTACTTCAGATGTCTGACCCGAACTTCGACAGCTGGACCAGAAGTTTCTAGATACGTGATCCGAAAACTTCAGAGATCCATATGACCTCAACTTCGGGTCCCACGCACGAATTTTTTTTCTCCGTGAGATATTGTTCACTTGAAGTTCGCCTTCAATTTCGCCACATAGGCAACAATCATACAAAAAACACAAATTAGTTTCGCTCTCTGACCGTAGCTAAACGGGTAGACTATGCGCAAACTTATTGATAGACATCAGCCCTTTTAAGATCGCCTTCCATTTTGCCATGGGCAAGAGACGTACTTAAGAGAGCGCGAAAATAATCTATTCGCAAAACTTACATTTATATCATTTATATATATCGCACCATAGCTTCCATTCAACCGGTAAATAATGACGTTAGCCCATCATCGGTAAATATCACCCTTGATGTTGATGTTGTGCCATTCTTAAGTAAGCACAAATTGCAATAAATTGCAATTGCATGGTAATATTATTGCTGTTACATCGGAATGTTGTGTATGTTGCCTGTCTGCTGATCGAAGGGACACTTCTAATTAAATACATTAAAGACATTAAATATATTTAAATATATTGCAATACAATTTATATGTATAAGTTGTAACTATTCATAGCATTATATGTTGCCTACCTTTCTGACACATGGAGCTTATTTTGTTTTGAAATCGGCAATTATTCACCAAATAATGTAAAAATATTGCAATTTCGTGGTAAAAATAGTAATTTTATTCAATAGATCGCAATTGTAATTAAATATATTCGCTGCAATGTGCTACTTGGGTTCCTTTCCATCTCTGAGATCATGCGTATATTTCTTGAGGTTCTATTCGGTAGGTAATATTCAATCACTCAACGGATTGTGCAGTGGGGGGGGGGGGGTGGCCCCCTTTAAAACATTTCTAACTGCTCCTCCCTGTGATTGAGATATGTGGTTTTCAAATTTAGTCTTTATAAAGTGCTCTTTGACTGTAGGGCGATCTTAAAATTCTATGGAAAACAGCAAAAATCCCGATGCGTTTGGCAAGATTTTCCACATTTTGGTGTTATTTAACCATAACGAGTCCAGTTCAATAGTTAGCGTTCCGACTCATCTGTGGATGGTCCATGGCGTTCTCTGAGCGGAGGAAAATGAGTTACTACGGATACGGCATGCCCGAGGCCATGGAGCGACAGAGAAGAGTTAGAGGGAACATCTGCATGGCTCGGCGGAAAAATGCAGAGATTCTAATGATATCCTCGAACCTAATCATAATACGCACGTTATCCTGCAACGCCTTCGTCCTCACTCCCGTCTGGGATAAAATCTCGGCTCGGCGCATGCGCAATTATAACTAAATACGTCCGCGCTACTCGCACCGCCACTGTTCCGGGTTATCCCCCTGCAATGCTGCCATCTTGCGGGATCTTGTAAGAACGTCGACGCCGTGAACAAGTTTTTATGGTGGAACAGGCGACTATGGGGCCACCAAATTTTACCGTTCAAAAAAAGAGGAAACTTATCTGCAAGAAGTTCGCACGCAATCGGATTCACGGTTTGAAACAGTTGCTTAATCCGATAATCCATGGCAGGGTCCAACTGTCAAAAAAGTTTGATCCTTGATTTGTCTCATCTTTCACGACTACCACGGCTCGACACATTTCGGCGCTTGATCCCTTTGGAACCACAAATTATTGACACTACGTACTTTGTCGGGTGGTCCTGGACCCCGCTTTCTCTCCCTTAGAGCATAACTTCTTTAGAGGACAGTCCTCGTCCCCTTTGTTGGGACAATAAAATTGACTAGATTTTATGAAAGAATGTTTCGAGTTCTCTTCAAAAAGCATCGTATGATATGTTCCGAATAAACAAGATTTTAAATCTAATTGAATTTATTGTTGCGTGTAGAGAGCGCGTGAGAATCTAAACTCAAGACAAGGAGTAAAACGAAGGTTGCTTTCATTGCATTAGTGGAGTAGCATTTATATAGGTAACTANGGTAATAATCCTCCCTTTTATCCTGGTTATTAGAAGAAATACATCCCATTTTTATACCTGTCTACCTATCAATAATTCCTTTACGGAAGAATACATTTAAATTTCCCGGGGATTTTCAATGACGTTTTCTGATTGGTTAATGAAAGACCAATGAGAATGCGAAATGACACGGACGTACACACAAAAAAGGCCTTATTTTTTTTTACTATAGTAAGAGTAAGATAAGTTGTAAAAGTGGAGAAAAACTACCAACAATGCTCCCAGGCGCGCGCGAGAGCGCTGGCGTAAAACGATCGGAAGTGGGTGGCATAGCCGAGTGGATGGTTGGGATTTTTATGAATGGAAATACTGTGTAGACATACTTACCGGAGTGGTTCATACTCATCGTTTTCATGGCATGTGCACTGAGCGTATTTCTAGCAAGCGGGAAGGCCAGAGTGGAGCAAGGAATCCAAAATCACGCAACCTTCGCACTGACCCTGCGCCACCCCCCCCCCCCCCCCCNATCCTTTCAAGATATTTCTCTGGAATTTTCGACAATCTCTCAGATGAAGCCAGAGGGACAAAAAGAGAAAACTCTACGTCAGCTAGGGATTGGTGATCAATTGTTCTGGTTAGTTTACTTCCGTTACTATCTCTCTTTCCAGAGAGGGAAGGGTGTACTTTTATTCGGACGTTTTGCCAAATGTATAGCTTAAGAGTTGATTAGGAGGCTGTTCGTTTTCGCTAGAAAGGGGCGAATTTTTCTTGCTACACTCTTACTAAACATCAAGAAATCATGCATTATTCTATTCTCAATACGTCGATTATTTTTATCTGCATGATCATTCACTATGTTTACGTGGTTTTTAGTGATAGGTAAGGTACATTTTATCACATTTATGGATCATTTTATTTTTCAGACATTGATGACCTCGAGAAGAAAATCAGGAGAGCCATTGTTGATGGACAGCCAAAGACTGGTAAACCGTGGAGGAAAATGTACGTCGTTGTTGAGGGCATCTACAGCATGGACGGTACCATTGTAAATTTGCCCGGAATAATAGCTTTGAAAGAAAAATACAACGTGAGTACTCAAATCGTTTGCCTCGCGCAACTAAAAATTTCGATTATTATTCCACCTCGAAAATTCAAGAATCCACCTCGTTATTTGCATAAATCGGAAGTGGACGAATTTATACAAAAAAGGGCTATGTTTAAATGAATTTGCAGATGGAAAGAAATTATATGTGGCACGTGAACCGTATGCTCGTAATTCGATTTGATTCAATTAATATTCAGATAGTTTGCCTTTTAGAATCATCCTAAGTAGCACAGATTGCAATAAGTAGCAATTACAACAATATTGCAATTCCGCTGAGTGTTGTGTATGTTGCCTAGCTCCTATTTGAAGGGGCCCCGTTTACTGAAACTTATTGCAATAAAATTGAAATACTTTGCAATTTTTCAATGCATTGCATATTGCCTATATCTTTCTGACTTGTGGAACTCATTTTGTTGATTGTTAAAAATCTGCATAAATCGACTAAATTATATAAAAATATTGCAATTCAATGGTAAAAAAATTACAATTGTATCGAAATCAAATTGCGATATAATTTCAATATTTTCGTTGCACGGTGCTACTTGGGATACGTCCGAATTATCATTGCACCTACATGTAATGTCACTTGACTTACTTCAATCTTATCCATATGCTTGCTAATATTTATTCAAGAGAGAAAGTCAGTCGTCGTCCGTTGTTACTATGTCTGACATTGCCAGGATTCTAAGGCGCTCTTCAATGTAAAAGTATTCTCTCTTTCCAGAATAAGTCCAGTCATTTTGTAGTTACTGGCATCACATTTCTTTGGGAGACTATGAATGACCTACGTGAAATGACTATAAGTTAGCCCGAGTTCTGATGTTTTTGCCCTTTGAGAACGGTCCATATGCTCTTAATATCTACACGCACAACGGCGACTTAAACGCGGGAGTAGAAAAGTAGACTGGAAACATGAATTTGAAAAAGAATGCCTAGAGTCGATTCCAACTTATCAAATTCCCTTTTCTACATGACGTAATCATGATGAAGCTTGTAAGTTTGTTGCACTTTAAACATATTCAGAGGAAACTCCGTCAATGATGACAACATTTTTAAGAGAAAAACACTTCGGATAACCAGCGATGGAGAATTTGTATGAAAAAATGTTGTTGCTGCACCCGAGAGTGCTTAATGAGCTGCGTTCTCAGTATTTTTAATGATTTTTTCCCGATATGGGAACTTGTGTGGATGAAATAAATTTAAAAGTGAGAAAATCTGCTGCCTTGTGACATCATCGGGCGTTATTTCCCATTTAAACACATGTACCTATTCTAGCAGATTAGGGAATTTGGTCATATCTCCTCCAAAAATTGACCATTTTAGAAACCAAGAATACGTACTCTCGTGCTCAGTTCACATGATGTTTCTTGATTGATGTCTTCTTTGTGAATGTGTCCTCTTAAACATGAATTTCAAAAAATTTCAGACACCTACAAATCCTCCATCCTGTATCATTCGATCTGAAAAAAGTGGTTGCCTACTTGATGAATTTTTTCAAACCTCTAATAATAACTTCTATGACACTTTTCTGGTATTTTTTAAATACTTTTAGTTACCGTTCATGAAGTACAGATTAAAAATCACCCAATGCAGTTTTTGTCTCTACGTCATTCATCAATTAACAATGTTATTAACAATGCTGATATTGGAGGAAATCGCGCTGATTCAATATAATTAGTATTTCGATATTATTTTATTTTCTTCGTTCCAAATTAAGAGCATTTTTTTCTTCTTTTTTAGTTTTACATTTACATAGATGAGGCTCATAGTATAGGAGCTATAGGACCCCGAGGCCGAGGTGTGGCCGATTACTATGGAATCGACCCTAAAAAGGTTGATCTCCTCATGGGCACGTTTAGCAAGTCTTTCGCTGCGGGCGGAGGTTACATAGCAGGTTCAAAGGTAACGGAGCACTGTTTTTATTTTTCATTTGCCCTTTGTATACAGTCAAGCAACATTTTGGATGAACATTGATGGTGTAATTAGAATATTTTACACTCTGCGACGTCGTTGAAAAAATCCGAACAAATATAACGCTATGGGCGAGGCTGCGATCAGTTTCATTAATTGAAACCTCTCTGGGTATTTAAAACAAATTCCACGGATATTATGAAGATAAGATAGCGAGTGTCTGTAATAAAACAGCTTTAAAATAATGGTTCAAACTGTTGCAATTTTCTTAAGGAAAATTTTTCCATCGAAAAAAATGTCTTTAAAATTGTTAAATTATCGCTATTTCTAGTCAATCTTATATGGATTGTCATTTACAACTGAATTTTATACACGATGGTCAGTTCTTAACGATTTGTGCATGATACTAAGAACCTCTTTTCTTCGTTGAAATACATGATAATGTAAAACGTTGCTTTATTTCTATTTTACAGAAAATAATCGAACATATACGACGAGTTAGTCACGATACTCATTACTCTTTCTCGATGCCTGTGCCAACAGCACGTTACATTTCGTCGGTCATGAAGATTTTGATGGATCCAACAAACCCCGCAGGAGGTAGGTATTCCAGTCATTTTTGTCACAAACTACATTTAGGGATTTAGTCACCCTTAGCTACGATGGCTCGCAAATGGAATAAAATTCGCAGCTCAAGTAGGACAGTTTGGAATAAATTGAGATTACATGCGGTAAAATTATTGATACCAACAGTGGTGTGTTGTGTACTATGTTGCCTCTCTACTAATTGAAGGGGCTCCTCCTACGCATACTTACTGTAATAAAACTGAAATAGGTTCCAATTTTTTTCGAAGTATAGCTGATGGCATATGAGTCATGTGCAGTGAGTTCACTTAACTGATCGTTTGAAAGTGGCATTCTTACACCAAACCATGTAAATAAAGGCAATTTTATGTTACGAACATTGGAACTTCATTACATTAAATCGCAATTTTATCTCAATGTTTGAATTGCATTGCGCTACTTGCACTGTTAAAAATATCAAACTACGTATACACGGGAACTGGCTCAAAAACGAGTATTTTCGAAATCTTCGAGTTGGTGTAAAATTGCTGTCACATAGTTGGGTATGCGCAATTTGAAGAAAAGTCACAAGAATATAATGCAACAAAACACAGACTTGTATTCTTCGTCACGAATCTGTCCTGTGCTTCATTACACTCGACTTACTTTTTTTTAATACGGGCAAATTTAGTTCACTATCTCGTTGCAATTTTAAACGCACTCCGAGCTCTAGAAAATATTTGACCACCTTCCTATTTTTCCTTAAATCAAAGTAATTTTTCCGTGGATTCAAAAATTACCTGACTTTTCCTGGACTTTTCGGGGATTTTGAATATAAAATTCCTAGACTTTCCAATGTTTTTTTGGTGTTCTTTTTTAAGGGGAGGGGCACATTTATCTGAATGTTACACAAAATTTCAGGATAAAAGTCTTCAAGTTGACGAATGCAATGTTTGGGCAGGAAGAAGAATGTCAAGATTCCGAAACAAAATCACGGACTTTTCCGTGACTTTTCAGGGCTGAGTGCACAATTCCCGGACTTCTCAGGTTTCCCGTGACTATGCCAAAACTTGTCACCCCGCTTTTGTTAAGAATGTGGGTCTAATCCGAGTGTGCCCGACTGAGCAGCCCGATTGTTGAAATTTTATGTTTGACAACCGAATAAGACAAGATTCAGGAGAATTGAGTTCTATGATTGGTCAGCTTTATTCGTCGTCCTCCTTGTTGTGCCGGTAAGAGATGATAATACGAGTTGCCGATAATACGAGTACTTGAGTACGGTGTCGTCGAATCCGGCGGGCTGCTTCTTGAAATTGGTGGACAAAGCGATAGACAAAGAGGACAGACAGGATATGGAGGGACCCTATTGGTAGAGGCGGGTGGTTGCAATGGACAATGGAGGTAATTAATAGACTAACTAACAGTAACCCATAAAAGACCCTATGGTTAGTCCATCATATTCTCTCTTAGTTCAATAGGAACCACCCATTTCGACCGATAGGATAGCTCCATACTCCTTGTATCTTCTTTGTCTATCGCCTTGTCTATCAATTTCAACAATCTAGTTGGATCCATCCTTGATCGACACGACAAAGAGGACAAAGGATACAGCTGAGCAATCTCGGAACTCAACTCTCCTTAATCTCGTCTCATCCGGTCGACAAAGACGGCATCTCAGCGATGAGGCTCCTGAATTTTGGTTTTTGGCTTCAGGGTTGCGACGGGTGCACCAGCTGCGGATCAACACGAACTACTTTCGACGTCGGTTGAAGGAGCTGGGCCTGGTCGTGTTCGGGAGCGACGACTCGCCGGTGGTGCCGCTCATCGTCTACTCCGTGAGCAAGCTCTACCTCCTCAACCAGCGGCTCCTCCAGAACAACATCGCCGTCGTCATGGTCGCCTTCCCGGTCACCTCCAGCCTCTCGCCGAGACTTCGCTTCTGCCTCTCCGCCCACCACACCAAGGAGCACTTAGACAAGGTACCACCTCTGTCCTCTCTTGAGACCTAGACTCTACATATTACCTCAATACGGGAAATCAAAATACTCGAAGCAGGATTGCCACAGAATTCAGAAAATTATATTCCCTGACACATTTTGATGGAATTCCCTGACAATTGAAGATGTGACGGATGGTTAAGAGGGCACCATGGAAAATAGTTTTCAGGCAAAATTTGTAGTTCGAAATCTCAAACCCATTCTAGAAAGCAAATGAAGTTAATTTAACACATTTTCCCTGACGTTTCCCGGTTTTCCCTGACTTTTTTAAATTCCCTGACGTTTCCCGATTTTTGCGGGTTTTCCCGGACCTTCATGATTTAAAATTTATAAAGAGCGTTTTGGAAAAAAAAAAAAAATCAAGGAAATGTTCAAGAAATTACGTCGACTGCACGGAGAAAAAAACTTCGTGCGTGGGACCCGTAGTTGAGGTCCTATGGATCTCTGAAGTTTTCAGATCACGTATCTAAAAACTTGAGGTCCAGCTGCCGAAGTTCGGGTCACACACCTGAAGTACTCTGGTACATCCCGAAGTGCCTCGATGTCTGACCCAAACTTTGGCAGCTCGATCTAAAGTTTTCGGTTGCGTGATCAGAGAACTTCAGATATCCAATATGACTTCAACTTCGGGTCCCATGCACGAAGTTTTTTTTCTCCGTGTATTTTTCTCAATAAAAAATGGAGCATGACAGAAGATCTGCAGTGTCTCAAGTACGTAATTGTGTACTTGGCAACTTGGCCAAAGATATGTCTTCCGTTTCGAATAGGGAAGGTTCGAGGACGCCTTTACCGCTTTATCATGAGGAGGAAAACTTTTGCAAACCACGAGCAAAGTTTTAAAATTTCACTTTGGAAATAGATCCTTTTAAAGGAAGAATAATAATGATTTACCACACCCAAGAAAATAAAAACAAAAGATCACAGGTCGTAGAAAGTTTCAGGTAGGTCCTTTGTGTCAAAAATCACAAAATACTGTGAGCTCAAAATGCATCTATACGCTTGCGTGCGTTCTTCGCTAGCCGAAATTTGACGGCGTGACTTGAGTACTGCCGTGCTAAGGAAAAATGCCGTACGAACCTTCAGACGTTGCCAAATTTTCTTCGATAAAACCCGAATTTACTGGGAAAATTGTGAATATGTTTTCCCAAAATTTTCAGACAATTTTGTACGCAATTCAATCTGAATTTTTCAGAGAAAAATGTGCATGAATGTCGTCAAAAATATATGTTTTATCAAAGGAAATTTGTTTACACTCAAATGTTCATACGGCGTTCTTCCTTAGCACGGCAGAGTATAGCACATAAGTATGTCAAATAGCTTTTCCTCAGAATCAGTTTTTTCAATCTGCAAAAATCGCTATAGTTCCGAGTTAAATTTTTAGAAGTAATTCATCTTAAAAATTAGAGAATAGAAAATTGTTAAAAAAAAGAAAAAAAAGAGAAAAAAAATATATATGTATATACTGCTACTACATGTATATTGTACGTGTATAGCTCCTGGAATACACTATGCTTGTTATTAATGTCATTTGTTATTAATTTCAGATCATAAATATCATCGATGAATCTGCAGACGAGCTGGGACTGAGATATAATCCGAAAGCACGCGTAAAAAGGAGAATACATTACGAAAACGTAATTGAATTTTAATCATTGTGATAAGTATGTGATGACCTCAGCGTACCAATCCTTCTAACTTCAGAGCGGCCACTATTCCAACCATAACCTTTACGTACATGGTATTTTGAAACCGCTTACTGAACTGGTGAACGCTCAAAAAATAAAGAAGAAGACGATGGCAGTCTTTAAGGCGCGTAAGCGTGTTAAAGTTCAGAGACAAAATGCAAAAATTTTTAGTGAATCGGATAACAAACCGACTTACGTTAAAATTCATTTTTGAAATGAGTTGTTCTTTTCTCTCTAAGGATTAAATCTCTAAAAAATTCATTAAAATTTTTTTCTTCACGAAATTTTGAGAAAATACTTTCATTTCAATTCAAATTTGATTTTTTGACTGTGCGTAATGGGCTGTCTTTGGCCTCTCTTTGGCTGCACTTTTTAACCAACATTTGAAATTAATATTTTCCTCTGAAAAAAATACGGGAATATCGTTCTTTGAAATCTCTATGACACTCTTCTGTTATTAGATGTGAATGAAGTGTATGATAGCTTCTTGAGTAGTATTTGTATCCTATTCAAACGCCCACGTGGGTTGTCTGAAACAAGTGAGCCAGCTTTGTAATGTAAATATTTTGTATAATAAATTTTTTTTTCACCAGTCATGTACGTTACATCGACTAACCTTTAAGAGTTTTGTCAGCACCTCGCTCACTTCCTAACATGAGAATACTTGCAATTTCCTGTAGTCTGCTAGTATTGTTTCTGATAGCACAGCCCGTAAAATTACATGTAGAAAAAAAATGATAAATTTTACAAGCTTAGAAGTTGTTCGTAAGGGGACTCGTGATAAAGCCGTAAATAATCAGAAATCAAGAATTTTCAGTAAAAAATTTGAGAACATGGATTTGTTACCAGATTTAAGTGAGAAAATATATTCAGGTATTTCTGATGAATTGAGTGTTAAAGAAGTTAATTAGTCTTTTATTGTTTATTTTGAAAAAATTAAAAGTTTAAATATATTTAAAAATTACTTGATAACAATTAAATACTGTAGCGTTACGATACATAAAACCATTTTGAGGACAAAATTGGTGTTTGCAAGAAACAGCAAGCAGCAAGTAACAAATGAAAGGGAAGGAATAAAAAAAAAGAAGAAAAAAAGATGAATGATGAAAAATAAGTCCTGCTAATTCTAAAAGAAAGTTAGAGAAACGTAAAGGAATGCTTTGAATCCTTTAGTTCTTAAAACTGAAAACACATTAATACTTCCAGTAGGACACTTAAAATTCAAGGTTTCAAATAACCTGACTGCTGGGAGTCGTGAGGTAAGTGACATAAGATTGCAAAAAGGTGGGAATGGAATACCTATTCAGCCAACAATTAAAATTGGCTGATATCATTGTTTGTAATTGACTATCAAAAAGATGCACTTACTTATAGCTGAAGCTGCATTGCAGGTCGGTGGTGAAAATCGAAAGACGCGCACCACGCTTATAGCGATGTTGCATATTTTTGTCACGTTTTTACATATTTTCATTGTTTAGTATATTTTTTCTGCAAGAAATGCTACATCGAACGTAACATCTTGGGGCATTTACTTTTCCTTCATTTACGTCGAAAAGTCTGGGAGAATTTCAACGATTACACTCATTCGATATTTTTTGAAAAATAACGCAAAACATGATAATATCAGTGGCGTGGCGTGAATTGCGAAAAATCGATTGTTATGCCGTTTAAACCTGTAGGAAAGATCGATTAATAGGATGTTCGCAGCGAACACCTTAATAATCGATTCTTTACCACGGGTTTAAAGGCATATCAATCGATACATCGCAATTCACGCCACGCCACTGGATAATATGGAACGCTGCGATTGAGAGACATGTTTTCCGCTTTCACCATCGAAATACTTAGGGCCATTAATATACATATATACATTATGAATATGCTAGCTTAGTTTGCGTTGAATGTTAAGCGGATAAAACTTGAATTCAAGCGGAAAGGACATAATTTAAACGCACTTTTCGCAGTGTAGTATTCCAAAATTTTGATAAGTGTCGGTCGTAAACAATTCAGAGATCATAAATTTCAAATACTTTAATATTTAAATTCATTACTCAAAAAAGTCTGTTTTCAGTAAAACTTTAGTAAAAGTTAAAATGTATAATTTAAAATATGCGTCAATATGAAGAAAATATTAGAAACAGTCAATTCAAGATATATTTACGATGTCTACTACGCTGAAGCAAAAGTTCAGGATTTTTAAGTTTTAACGGAATTAAGGGGAGGGGGAGAATGGATTTTGGACTTAGGACAAATTCCACGAGATCGATCTGTCCCATTTTCCAAAATAACTTACGAATTCTATGAAATTTAATCGGAAGATTTCTTAAGAAATTCTGCATCTTCCTTTGAACTCTGCCTCCGTTGGAAGCCAAGGTTTCCTCGCTCAGTTTTGCGGAGCTATGTTTTATTGTTCGAATCTAAGGCGGTCACTTCATCTTCCTCTCCAGCCTTGTCACAAGTTGATAATAGGTTTTCGGTGGGTTCAATGTTCCTATCAAGTTCAAGTTTAATTGTCTTTAATGAATTTTTCATTATTTGTTCGATTTCTCTATCGAGTTCGACCATCTTTAAAGAATGTTTTTCTTTCTCTTCCTTGGTGTCATGCTTTCGCCTGGCCTCTTCACGTGTCGCTTTATCTTCCGATTTGCACATGGGACAGTTTCCTTCAAAGCCGAATGTTCTACGAAATTCATCACTCATTCTTGTTTCGTGACATTCGGCCGTATAGGCGTGTCCTTCGATGCACTCGGCTTGAATAAGAACCTTACATTTCAACTTTCTATGATCAGACGACGAGTGACAGGTGGATGGACACTTGTGATCACCGCAATGCAACATCTTCCCGCAAGGCTCTTTACAGCCCCCAGCTGGGGATTCAGTGTCAAAGTCGGCCGGTTTCTGTATGATGCTAGTACGGTCGGGATGTCGCTCGCAACGGATTGGAAATCCATTGTATACATGCATGCCATCTTTTAGCAACCCGATGAATCGTGTCCAAAGATCACTACCTTTGCGAGAGCCCATGAAGTGTTCGGCATTACCGATTAGGATAAGTGCATTACGAGCACGCGAAACAAGAACATTGAGACGCTCTGGGGCACTCATGAAACCGACATCACCAGTCGCATTGCTTCTGGTCAAGGATGCGACGACGATATTCGCCTCTTCTCCTTGGAAGTTATCGATCGTGGACACTCGGAGACGAGGCTTTTCGGCGTCTTCGGTATCCTCTCGTTCTCTCGTTAAACCCGCACGAGCTAGGTCATACGCATCGAGGTCATTCAACTGAAGGGAATGGTCGACACTCAACTCGTCGAGCAACAGACGCAGTTGACCAAGGTACGGTGTCAAAACAACAATATCTTCGGTTGTGTACCCTTGCTGACCGAGGTAACGGACACATTTTAGGGTCATATGTGCCTCGAACCGATTTTGCTTCGAAGTAGCGGCTTTCGAGTCTCCAAACTCACGAGCGACTGAGAGCTCGGTTTCGGGTTCTTTGTGGTTCACGAATATTATGTTGTCCAAGAAACCGCGGAGGTTCGGCCTGTTTAAGGTATTATCAGCGTCTTTTAGTTCCGAGTACGTCATTTTCCGGATCAAAGAAGAGATCTCAGGTCTCATCCTGTGTTGGGTGAAGAGCGTGTGGTGCGGGAAGCCTTTAAGAATAAGCCTTTCGAATAGAGAACGGTTCAAATCATACCCTGTACCTTTCTCTACACTCAGTTCGTAACTAACCCTTGGTCGTAGTTGTTTATGATCGCCGATTAAAATTAAATGCTTCGTACTTGGACCAAGGGCTGTCAACACGTGACTTTCAAGGATTTCTCCTGCTTCCTCAACTAATACGACCCCAGCTGAGATGCGACTGAGAGCTTCACTGTATTTGGCGGCAGCCGTGGTAGTACAGGCGATGATTCGCTTTGAACGCATGACCGAGAGATCTCTCTGCAAAAATAAATAATCTAAATCTTTGATTATGTGATTGTATGAGTTCCCTGCGTCCCTTACTAGAGCTGCCCTTTCTTTTGACATCTCATAATTCCACTGTTGCCATGTTTTCCTTCGAAGCTCAATACTCATATCCCAAATAGCTCGGTATTTATCTACGACACTATATCTGTAAATACCCGCATCCATGCCACGGATCCAACGGTGTAACAAGTAGTCATATTGTACTGTGTTCCCACCTTCCGCTACTCGAATCATGCCATCTTCTTCCTCAGAAACCTTAAAGGCATTGTAGAATTTGAGATATTCCTCCTCCCATTTCAAGAAATGGAGGACATCTTGATAGGAAAATCTGAAAGCAGCGAATTGGTTGAAAGCAATTTCAAGAGACTTTTCTTTATTTGCGAGAAGGCATTTCAGGTCACGAACCAAATCCCTCTGCGAATGAGAGAGGAAAGCTTTCTGTTCTCGCAGAGCCAGGGGTTTAGTGATGGGGGTTGCCTTTTGACTTGAGCCTAAACGAACAATATCACATTTCGGAATTCCGAGCTGCAAGAGATCTTTTACAAAATCATCCAAAGCATGGTGGGTATAACAAACAACAAGTATTGTCTCCGTGCTGTATTGGTATATGGTTTTACCAATAAGTGCTCCTATGAAGGACTTACCGGTTCCCGGAGGTCCCTGGATTAGGGCCACTTTCTGCAGGAGGGCTGCGAGGAAACATTTAGTTTGAGCCTCATCGAGAGAAACATTTGACCCTCTCAGTCTGATAGAAGGTAATGGGTTAGCCGAATTATCATTGCACTCAAGGCTTTCTGATCGCCGCTTTAATCGTGTACTTAAAGAGCCTAAGCTGTATTCTGGGGGCAAGATAGCAGTTCCAACTCGCCACGATATAATCTCTTGGCTAAGAGAGAGTACTGTTATATTTTGCAGCTGCTTTAAAACTGGTTCATAAGCGAAAATGGCGCTATTGATCAGTACAAGGCGTATGTTTGAACGAGCATCTTTGAGTTGCACCAACACCGATTTTAAATTCTTGGCGGGAAGCTGCACGCACAAAACAGATTCCATCAGAAGTTCCTCATCTCGAAATAGAGTGCCGAGAGTAACAAACTCATGGCCAACGCAAAGGCAAACAAAAGTACCAGTCCTTAAAAAATTTTGTTTACTTTTAAAATAATTCTTTCGTTGATTAGATCTCAAACCACGTAATTGCGGCAAGCCTTTTGTGCAATGAAGTTGCACGGACCAGGGTAAGCGTCGGTCGCAATACACACCTTCTAACTCGAGGTTCAAGATCTCCAAGGGTTTTCTGCCTCTATTTTTGAGCTGCGTAACCGCTGCAAGGTCCTCACGCAATTCGCAAAGCATATCCTCACGGAGCAGACGGAATTGACAGTCAATGTGACTAGCAAGAGCATCCGATTCCTGAGCTCTGTCTTCGGCATCGCAAGGCCTGGGCAAGTATCTAGCCGTTGCTTTCAGCTCATCGGGGGTCGGATAGATGGAGATCCTGTGAATCTCAGGAAAATCATTGTCATGTCGTCCACCAGGGTCACGTTGTGTAATCCCCAGAACTAGCTCCTCCGAGCCTGAGCTCCCAGCTATTTTATCGGCGATTTGCTTGATTAGTTCTCCTTGGCTCTTGATATCGTACGATGAAGACTCGAGAAGAACTTTCTGAATGAAGGGATCCTGAGCAACGGTCAAGTACTGAGTGGCGTCCTTACTCGGCAACGATAGCAACTGCACAAGAAGCCATGCAAATACGCCAAGAGCACGTTCGTTCAAAGCCCGATCGTGTGCCGCTTTCACGAGACTTTTCCACGTTAGAGGGGCTTCCATCAGCTTTGCAATGATCTCCTGAACCGCTTTACCATCTTGAATAGTCTGCAAATCTGGTGCTTTGATGTGCTCCAAAAACATGGTAAGCTTTCCATTGAGAAAATCAATTGAAGTATCACTGCTAAATGCTAACAGTAAAGCCGCAAGACCACGTGGGTTGGACACTAAAGACGAGATGGTAGTTACTGCCGGTGACTGTTCGCATATGGCCTCTAGAAAAAGTTTTGAAGTTATGGGAGTAATAGTTTTCTTACCTTCCAGAACTGCATCGAACAAAGAGGTTGTTCCATCCCCCATTAGATTTGGCCCCCTATCAGATATGATCCATCTTTTCAGGAGTGATACAGTAGCATGCGAGACGTTCAAATATGGCGGTCATTTTGACTTAGGCCCCCCCAGAGAGGGGGGGCGGGGGGTCAAAGTCAAAACCTTCAACTGCCTATAACTTTTGAGCGAAAAATCGGATTGAGTTGAACTTTTATTTAAATGAAAGATCTCAAAAAGATCTATCTGCTGATACCAGAAAAATTGAAAAAATGTTAAATTTAATGCAAATTTTTAGCAATTTTTCAATTTTTTAGGGGACAAAATTTTCAATTTTGTCGTGTTTCGGCACCGCGCAATGACTCTACTAAAACAAAAACCAGTTTTTTAGATTCTACACTTAATTTCCTACAAGATGCAAAAAACCGCATCTTGGGGAAACGTTTAGATCGCGAGCTATGGCTCGTCAAAGTTAGCCCCGCGCTGAGCGCGCGCGCCCTGCGCTGTTCGCATATCCTCTGCGCGTCTACCACCGATCCTGTTGCCCCTCCTCCCCCTTCCTAAATGCAAATTAACATTCTACTACCCAGCTTTCGTATATATCTGCGTTATAGGTACGTGAAAATTTCAGCAAGTTCGTGATTTCCA